GTGAGCTAGACTGATGCCACGGCACTCTAGCCAGAGCAACAGAGTGAGACTCTGTCTCAAAACATTTTTTAAAAAATAACTCACCATGATCAAATGGTATTCACCCCAGGGATGCAATGGTGGGTCATAGTTCAACATGCACAAATCCATAAATGTGTAATACATAACATTAACAGAACCAGGAACAAAAGCTATGTGATATTTCAAGAGATACTGAAAAATAGTCTGGTCAAATTCAACATCTCTTCATGATAAAAACCCTCAACAAACTCGATGTAGAAGGAACTTTCCTCAAAACAATAAAGGCCATATATGACAAACCCACAATCAAAATCCCACTGAACAAGGGAAAAATGGAAGGCCACTCCTCTAAGATCCGGAACAACACAAAGATTGTCTGTGAGGCCTTTTACTTAACGTAATAGAGGGGGTTCCAGCCAGAGCAATTAGGCAAGAGAAAGAAATAACAGGCATTCAAACTGGAAAGGAAGAAGTCATGTGAGCCTTATTTGCACATGACATGATCTTAATATTTAGAAAAACCTAAACACTCCACCAAAAAACTGTTAGAACTGATAAACAAATTCAATAACATTTCAGGATACAAAACCAACAGACAAAAATGAATAGCAACAGTGAACAATCTGAAAAAGAAATCAAGAAAACAGTCTCATTTACAATAGCTACAAAGAATATAAAATACCTAGGAATGAATTTAACCAAAGATGTGAAAGATCTATACAAGGAAAACCATAAAACACTTTTGAGAGCAACTGAAGAGGGCACAAAATAATGAAAAGCTATTCCATGCTCATGAGTTGGATGAATTAAGACTATCAAAATGATAATATTACTGAAAGCAATTTATAGATTCAATACAATCCTTTTCAAAATACCAATGAAATTCTTCACAGAAATAGAAAAAATAATCCTAAAATGTGTGTAGAGCCACAAAACACCATGAATAGCCAAAGAAATCCTCAAGGAAAAGAAAGCTGGACAGCCGGGCGCGGTGGCTCACGCCTGTACCCTTGTACTCTGGGAGGCCGAGGCGGGACTATCTCTTTTTTTTTTTCTTTTGAGACAGAATCTCACTTTGCTGCCCAGGCTAGAGTGAATGCTGTGGCGTCAGCCTAGCTCACAGCAACCTCAAACTCCTGGGCTCAAGCAATCCTGCTGCCTCAGCCTCCCGAGTAGCTGGGACTACAGGCATGCGCCACCATGCCCGGCTAATTTTTTTCTCTATATATTAGTTGGCCAATTAATTTCTTTCTATTTATAGGAGAGCAGGGTCTCGCTCTTGCTCAGGCTGGTTTTGAACTCCTGACCTTGAGCAATCCACCTGCCTCAGCCTCCCAGAGTGCTAGGATTACAGGTGTGAGCCACCATGCCTGGCCTATCTCTTGAGCTCTGGAGTTTTAGACCAGACTGAGCAATAGCCTGTCTCTACTAAAAATAGAAAAAAAAAGAAAAAGAAATAGCTGGGTCACTAAAAATAGAAAAAATTAGCTGTGTATAATGGTGTGCACCTGTAGTCCCAGCTACTCGGGAGGCCGAGGTAGGAGGATCGCTTGAGCTCAGGAGTTCGAAGCCAGCCTGAGCAACAGTGAGACCTCATCTCTACTAAAAATAGAAAAATTAGCCGGGCATGGTGGCATGTGTCTGTAGTCCCAGCTACTCGGGAGGCTGAGGCAGGACAATGGCTTGAGCCCAGAAGTTTGAGGTGGCTGTGAGCTAGGCTGATGCATGCCACTCTAGCTCAGGCAATGGAGTGAGACATTTTCTCAAATAAAAAAAAAATCTGGAGGCATCATACTACCTGACTTCAAAATATACAAAGCTATAATATGATAACTAGCCCAGCAAGGTACTGGAATAAAAATAGACATGTACATCAATGGAACAGAATAGAGAACCCAGACATAAATCCACACATTTACACCCAACTCATTTTTTTTTCAAATTTATTAAGATTTATTTCTCATACACTATAGAAAGAGCTAAGCAAATTGATGCAAATATCAGTGAAAATACAGAAAAAAAAGACTAAAAAGATAAATAAGAAGTAATGAATACATTTTAGATCTTTTTGTTTCTAGTTCTCACTGTTGATCCCAACTATATTAAAGCTGAATTCCTCCATATTTCCATTTCCAGAGGAAATGCCTATGGAAATGCCATGTTATCTTACTCCAGATCACAAAATAAAACGGATGGTTTTACACTATGTTTTACAGAAGAGGCGTTCTTACTATTAAACCTCATGAACAGCATTAGATGTGTGATCAAAATCATTTGAAACATGAAGATTTTAAAGATAATTAAAGCTCTATTAAAGAATATAACATTTGTATGACACACTCATCAAAAATAAAAGAATAAATTATCAAGTTACAATAAAATAGGAACACATAGATGATAACCTCCAGCTCCGCCCTGGGCCTACATTCCTTGAACACTAACTGCCCTCTTCAAAGGGATGAGGAATCTATCTCTGACTTGACTAGGTGCGAGAGGATCTGCCAGACATGGCACTGGAACTTGCAGTGGCCGTGGAAGTAGAGCCAGCCCTAGCTGAAATTCTCGCTTGAGCTCTCTCTTCTTCATCTCGCCGAGCATCCTCATACTGAGAAGGGAAAGAACTTGGGTCCGTCCCATGAACCTTGGCCAGAAACTCTAGGAGCTTCATCTTTCTGATTTCAGCGTGGGCTCTTGGGCCCCACACGAATTCATACTGCGCAGGATCACTGTTGGGCACCTGGTGGTACTCCAGGTACTTTTCCTTTACCAGCTCTTTGGTGATGAACTCTCTGGGCTCTCCAAAGATGAAGTGCCTCCTCCCGGAATATAGCCCCGTCACATTCAGCACTTCCCAGACTTGCTCTTCAGTGGCACGGTTGCCCTTCATGAAGATCGCACCCAGGATCAGGATCAGGAGGCCGGTCTTGGGCACACCCTTTTCAACACTCAGCATCCCATCATAGGTGAGGCCCAGCTTGATGAAGAGGCCATAGCGGTGGCTGATGGGATCTACTTCCTTCACATCAAGACCGAAGATTATCTCCCTGCGGTCAGAGGCTCTCAGGAGGATCTCAGGGAAGTGGTCTTCGTCTTCTTTGATGATAATCTTCAATATCTCTGCCTTTGTTAGTGGCTCTCTCATTTGATATTTGAACAGCATGAAATTGACCAAAAGAGCCACCTTCTCATCGAGAACATCGATTGGCATATTCCTGGGGGCTGCTGTAGCTTGTGAGGTGCTTGGACTCTTTTCTTCTTCTTTGCTACTAGAGCCCTCATCAGATTTGCTTGATGAGGTGGCTGCAACAGCACTAGCAGAAGAGCAGAAACCCTGAGGACCCTCAGGAGTGCTCAGCATCTTGGCAGCAGGAGCCTCCATCAGGTTGCCTGGCATTAGAGGAATGGGGGAGGAGGCAGAGGTCTCCTCCACAGCCTTGGACACCTGGGCATTTTCCAGACCCTGGTTCTCACTCTGGGTCGCAATGGGCTGATCATATTTGCATTGTGGACTTTCCTGATCCTTAGGCATGTTGTGTCTGGCTGGTGGCAGTAGTCAGGAGTGAGCAGAGGGTGCTCAATGCAGTCACTGCCTTGAGAGCTGGAAACAGCGTGATTCCTCTCCCTTCTGATCTGAGGATGCCCACCTCAGACCAAGGTCTTCTTGGCCCTCAGACGCCAGACTACACCCAACTCATTTTTCACAAAGGCACCGAGAACACACATGGGGAAAGGACAGTCTCTTCAATAAATGGTGCTGGGAAAACTAGATAACCACATGCAAAAGAATGAAACTAGACGACCATCTCTCACCACATACAAACATCAACATAGATTAAAGACTTGAATCTAAGACCTGAAACTACGAAGCTACTAGAAGAAAACATTGGGGAAATGTTCCAGGGCATTGGTCTGGACAAAGATTTTTGGGCAAGACCTGAGAAGCACAGGCAACCAAGGCAAAAATAGACAGATGGGATCACATCAGGTTAAAAACATAGATATATGGCAATTCTTAGATATGCTAAAAATCTGAGAAACTTTCATGTAACCTCTGTAAAGAATTTTTCATCTACTTCTTCTTATCTGCCAGCCCACTGAATCTTTGATTAATATTTGTGTAATATAAAATAAAATTCCACAGTAAGTCATTTACCCACTTATTCAAGTGAATTTCATGAAGTTACATTAATGCTTCTATTTAAGATGTATTTGTCTCTGCCCTCTCCACTCCATCTTCTCCCCAGAATCACAAATGATACTGTTTATAAAGTAGTCATTTTTCCCTCTAAAATACCTGATTTGCACAGATGGTATGTTATGAACCACCTGATCATAATGCTTCCCCACTGATGGACCAACAGAGAACATCACAAAATAGCTTTCCATAATAAATTATTTTATTAAGTCTTGAAAAATATATACATAGCTATATAGGGGATAAGGAAAAGAAAAGGTCAAATGAGATGGGCTGGGATCTTGGATGGTGCTCATTCAGTGTGTAACTAAAACCAAACAATCAAAAAACACCATCGAAACAGGTGTCTTAGTTTAAGGTGTCTCATGCTCTTATTTATTTAGAGACAGAGTCTTGCTTTGTTGTCCAGGCTAGGGTGAGTCCCATGGCATCAGCCTAGCTCACAGTAACCTCAATCTCCTGGGCTCAAGCGATCTTCCTGCCTCAGCCTCCCAAGTAGCTGGGACTACAGGCATGCGCTGCTATGCCCGGCTAATTTTTTCTATTTATTTTTAGCTGTCCAATTAATTTATTTCTATTTATAGTAAAGACAAGGTAGAAAAAAAATAAAAAATAAATAAATAAAAATCATTCTTGGTAATGCTTTCCTAGAAAAAAAAAAAAAAAAAAAAAAAAAAAACGTTTTTTGTTTTGTTTTCAAAAAAAAAAAAAAAAAAAAAAAAAAAAAAAAAAGACAGGGTCTTGCTCTTGCTCAGGCTGATTTAGGACTCCTGACCTGGAGCAATCCGCCCGCCTCGGCCTCCCAGAGAGCTAGGATTACAAGCATGAGCCACCGCGCCTGGCCCCATGCTCATTTTTATACTAAGAAATTCACTTGTTTCTGGACAAAACCTAGAATTTAATCCAAATTCAGCAAAATCCTGCAAACATGTTAGAAAAATAGTTCTCAGTGGGCTACTATAGGAAATAAAGGCAAAGGAGGATTGAATGTGTTTATGAAGATTCTAATCTTCAGTAACTCAGAGAACGGGGGACGAGCAACTGGGAGTGTCCACGCCGGGAGGGGCCTCGGCCTCATCGAGCCCTTGTGCATCTTCCTCCATCACGGTGGCTCCTGCTGTCTCCAAGCCTTGCAGAGGTTGCTCTGCTTTCACTGCTGGATGAAGAACAAAAAGGCGTCTGGGTATAAACATTCTCAGATATTAGACTCATCTCGATTCCTGATAAAATGAATTTTCCTAAAGGTGTCCTCAAAGCAATGAGGTGTAAATGTCATAGAAACAAGAAATGGCAGGAACAAGAAGGCACTCGTGACACACGGCCCCAGGTTCTGGGTCTAAACTCTGCCCCGCGGAACCGCTTGCTGGCAGCGAGCTGTGACCAGCCAACTCCAGCGAATGCCGGCTCCCGTTTCCCGGAAACCTTTTCTAGCCCTTTGAATTTTTTTTAATTCATTTTACATCATTGTCTTATTTAATCGTACAAGAGATATTACGTTGAACCATATTTTAGAGATGCGGAAACAGGCTGAGCTAGAATAGTCAGCCGAAGAGAACACAGCTGGGAAACGGCGGCGCAGGGTCTACACTGTGGACAGACTGTCCGAATCCTTTTTTCTCCAGGACGCTGGCTCCTTTCAAACCTTTTCAAACAGCGCTGTAACCCTGTGGGGTCCGAGGGACCGCTGAGTGGGAGGAGGAGAGAGAAACAGAGCAGGCCCCTCACGCCAGCTGCACCCACGGTGGACCTATGACAACTATATAAGGTTCCACTTCCAGTTCTGTTTGAGAAAGTGTCAAACACTGGATCACACCATGACGTCTCTCCATGCCGCTATCACTTGCACTAGCAACTTTTTGAAGTCAAGAACCTCGTCTTATCCTTTCTTTGGTCTTGCGATACTGGAAAACCTCCCCTGACCTGTGAGCCAGAGCTGTCAAGAAGGATGGACGCTGTCCAGGGTCCTGCCACTGCCCTTGGGCCTCCTGCCTGAGCCTCCGGACAGCTGCGGCCTGAGCATCTCCTAAGGTCCCGGGCACCCGCTGTCTGTCTGTCACCAAAGCCAGTTACATTAGTCAAGGTACCTGAATCATCTCACTGTCATCACAGCTCACTGGGCTGCTCCCCAAGAGGCACGCAATGTCCTCCCCAAATATCTGGAGGAATCAGAAATTGAGCAAGAGAAACCTGCAACAGAAAAGGGCAGACACAGGGTGCTCTTTTCATTCGGCATATTTATAAATCACATTTCATAGACAAATCTTGGAGCTTACACAAAACATGAAATTCAGAATTCTGAGAAAAACTCTGAGTTGATTTATAAACATCTGAATTTGTTTTCTCACAGAAACGACTATAATATTCGAATGAGCATTTAGGGCACAGGTCTTAAAATACTTGTCAGTGGACTAAAGTTATAACTTGTGGTCTAGCTTAAGAGCTAACATTTTCATATCAATGGCCACATCTTTAAAAGCGGGAGAATTTTCAAGTAACTCACATAGGATATGTGGGAGGAAGCTAGATACTCTCTAACTAAAATGTAGAAAGCAACCACGTGGACGGAAACTTGGGACGTTCCCTTCTGAAGTGGAGCTTAACGTAGAGCGCTCACGTAGAGCGTGGCGGCAGAGCTGCTCTGTGCTCACATGCGGAGGAGGGGGCAGCCACAGAGGGAGCGTCTTCGTGTCGAGCGGGGGTCCCTGCCCAGGCACCGCCTGCCTCAGGACGCTCTCTGGGGGAGCTTGGGGAGGAGCTGCCATCCTGTCTATGCACACTGCGGCTCCACGAGGATGTTCTGGAATCTTCTCCTAGTTTTCTCACTGCAGCAGCAGAGACAACACAGCAGCCCCGTATTGCTCTGCATGTCGACCGTGAGCCACAACGGACAGGGGACAATGACGTGTGGAGCCACGGGTGCTCCTGTCACCCAGACCCTCTGGGCAGTGTCAGTCCTGACCAGACGAGCTGGGTGTGACCAACACCGTTTAGAGGAGGGAACCGTGGCTCGGAGTCTCTGTCCGCGGTTCCACACCCTCAGTGCTGAGACTCAGAGCTGATCCTTGGTTTGTCGAATTCCAAAGCCCCAGTTTCCTTTCTGTCACATCACACCCATGTCTTGTCTCTGTGGTTCAGTCAACCTAGAGCTCTGTCTCCCGGATGGGAAGGAACAGGTGACTCGCTGCTCGTAATCTCCCGCTGACCCACCCCCCCTGCCACCCCCACCCCAAGAAAAGCATAAACGACTCTGTCGCTCCAAAGGAGTGTGACTAAAGTGTGCACTTTGTAAAACAAACGCCAAAGTCTGTCAGAGTTACTCTCCTGAATTTCAGGTCCAAAGCGGGGGCTCTGTCCCGGGCATGAGCGAGAGGCCCCAGTACCTTTCTGGCGAGCGCTTCCAGGGACTCTGAGCCGCAGGGGTCGGTGGCCACAGGACTTGGGCGCCACACAGACTGCGAGATCGCACGCCGTCATGAGATTCGAGGAGGAGTGTTTCTCTACATTGTGCAACACTCCAAAAAGGTGTCGCAAAAGGACAACGTTCTCTTTTGGCAGCTGGCCTAAAAGGCTAAATAGAAAAGCGCACACTTAAAGCATGTGATTTTACCCAAGAAGTTGTAAGGACGGAGAAGGGGAACAGAGTGCTTTTCTCTATGCCATTTATACAGCCCAGCGAAAATACAGAAGCACGGAGAAATATGTCTTAAAAATACTGCGTTTCCCTGAAACCACTACAGTGTGTTTTCACTTGGACAAACCTTATTAATATCTAATATAAATATATTTAAAACTCATGTAACATTTCCTTATGTGCTCAACTAAACCTTTATTGATGAAATTAAACAGTAATTAATCTTAAAAGGCTTTTTTTTTCTTAGGTGGCCATACAGGAATGTGTCTTGCGGTGAGAGCCCAGTGCCTGCCTGCTATCTAAGACACTCATCCCAGGCGTGACTGCACACAAAAATGTTTCACTGAATGCAATTCCTGCACCAGATATGGGCTTCTCTGGCCAGTTCACTACTTGACAAAGTTAAGATCACGCTGCTGCCAGAGGGGTCCGTTATCATTTTTCTTGGACCCATGGACTTCGTGTCCTATCACTGTCATATATTAAGAATGTATACAGTTGTCAAGGGTTCCGTATTAATATTATTAGGAGGAAAACAAGAAGCATACTAAGGCGTACTAACGTATACATCTATGTGTAAACTGGCCTCTGTGTGGGGACCAAATGGAACTCTTTGGCTCTGGCTGTCATTTCAGTGACTGGGACTGTGAAATGCAAGCTGACATGCGTTAAGGAACACGTGGGTCACGTGTCTGTGGGCAGAGCAGGTGCCACGTCGTTACCTGTGGATGCAGCTTGCTCTTCCTTCTCGCTCCTGCGATCAGCAGCACCGAGCCATTTCTCAGAGAGATCGCAGGAAAACACGCTCCCTTCAATGTTTCGAATAAAATCCTTACATAGATTTTAAAAATATTATTCTTATGGCAAATATATCACTGGGGAAATTACAGAGAAAACATTTGACGGAAAACTTTATTTTGGTCCTCACTTTGTTTGCAGCTACCCTGTGACCCACACAGGGGCTCTCCACTGACTTGCACACCCAGAGGCAAATGCTTGGATGTTTTGCAGCTAAAACTAGAAGCATAAAAGGAGAATCTGAAAGAGTGCTGGGAATGAAGATGAAGTCTACTCCCAGCTTCTGGAACTTCCTGATGTGCATTTTAGCAAACTAGTACCCACTGACAAGGCCTGGTGATAAATTGTCCTAAATGCTATTATTTTCATGAAAAGAAATAAACATACACATTTTGCATGTTTTCTTAGACACAGTACATTTAATTTCTAGCAAGGAAATTTCTGAAACAAATGAGCTAAACACACACACATGTGCTCAAGCACAAATGTTGTAAGAGGACAGGGCCTTCTGGCTTGGGCTAAATGTGCTCCTTGAGAGAAAGTGTTTATAATAGTATAGCTTCATTCTTCATTTCTTTTAGCTGTATACAAAATTCAACTCTTTAAACTTGTAAGGATGATGTTGTTGGCTACACACCCAAAGCCCCAATTGGTGACTACATGTTGCTCCTTAACAATCCCTTGGGTTGGAAAATACACACCCTGCACACAAAGGAAACCTTATGAAAATTTAGGTAACTCCTAGGTTCAGGTCTCTGAGTGCCAGTGGTGGAGTCATGCAGAGACAAGCTTCCCAAGTGGTGGCCTGGCTAATTAGTCACTTGATATGGCTGATATAAGCTTTAACACTATAAAATTTGGCCTTTTAAAACTTAAGCAGTAGTTCAACCTCTGTGGAAAGCAATATGGAGATACCTTAAAGCGATACAACTGAATCTACCATTTGATCCAGCAATCCCATTGCTGGGCATCTACCCAAATGATCCAATGACACTCTACAAAAAAGACAACTGCACTCGAATGTTTATAGCAGCACAATTCATAATTGCAAGGCTGTGGAAACAGCCCAAGTGCCCATCAATCCAAGAATGGATTAATAAAATGTGGTATATGTATACCATGGAGTACTATTCAGCTCTAAGAAACAACGGTGATATAGCACATCTTATATTTTCCTGGTTAGAGCTGGAACCCATACTACTAAGTGAAGTATCCCAAGAATGGAAAAACAAGCACCAGATATGTTCTCCAGCAAACTGGTATTAACTGAGCAGCACCTAAGTGGACACATAGGTACTACAGTAATAGGGTATTGGGCAGGTGGGAGGGGGCGGGTATATACATACATAATGAGTGAGATGTGCACCATCTAGGGGATGGTCATGATGGAGACTCAGACTTTTGGGGGGAGGGGGAGAAATGGGCATTTATTGAAACCTTAAAATCTGTACCCCCATAATATGCCAAAATAAAAAAAAAGAAAAAAGAAAAAAAAAAAACTTAAGCAGCTTTCAATTTTTGTGCGCAAGAACGAGGGAAAGTGATCCTATCACCTCTCCAGCTTCCAGGGCGCACCTTATTCCCACTGGTCTCTCTGAGCAGCCCAGGGCTCCTCTTCACAGTAACTAGTCCAGGAAATGCCTCTCGGCGGCTCTCGTGACTGTAACCCAGGAATGGTTCGCTCATTCCAATATTCCTGGAGCTGCTGTTTGTGCTAGAAGAAACTGGACAAAGTCTCAGTCCTTTTATACATTTGCTATGTCACTGGTGCACAAACCCACACATGGTAGTTAGGGTGTTTCACTGTGCTTTCCCATGGGGTGGTCCCAATGTGTGTGGAGAGACTCTGGCTGACTCTAGGAACCTGGGAGGGTTTAGGAGCACATTTGCCTGGTGTGTGCGGAGCCCGCATGCACTCAGAGCACGTTGTCTCCTCTCTGGTTTCCTGGGAGCTGGGTGGCTAAGCCAGAATGTGAGCCAAGCAGAAGGCGCCAAGGGCATTCGCTGTTCAACCTTGGCTCGTAGACAGCGCCACAGCAAAGACAACGTGCTGCTGGTTCATATTTTCTTCTGGCTTAGGCAAAGTCCCCAGTTACTGGCACAGCAACATCAGGACCAAGTGTAACTGAGACTCAAAGACAATTTAAAAACCTGTTTGTAGTTGCTGCCACCTCACCATATTTTTGTTTAGAGCTGTTAATAAGAATCAAAGTGGATTTATTAAATTCTTTTTCTTTTTTTTGTTTTTGAGACGGAGTCTCGCTCTGTTGCCTGGGCTAGAGTGTCATGGCGTCAGCCTAGCTCACAGCAACCTCATTCTCCTGGGCTCAAGCAATCCTCCTGCCTCAGCCTCCCGAGTAGCTGGGACTACAGGCATGCACCACCATGTCTGGCTAATTTTTTATATATATTTTTAGTTGGCCAATTAATTTCTTTGTATTTTCAGTAGAGGTGGGCTCTCGCTCTTGCTCAGGCTGGTTTCGAACTCCTGACCTTGAGCGATCCTCCTGCCTCGGCCTCCCAGAGTGCTAGGATGACAGGCATGAGCCACCACTCCCAGCCCATATGGGGCTTTAAACAATCAAGGAAACCGATTTCCTTACGTTGTGCCTTTGTGATGTGTTTTCCAGTGTCTCAGGTTCTCCGTTGCAGTGCTTACTGCTCTGGGGCGACCATGATGAAGAACCGACCGTGCAGCGTCAGAGTTCCGCTGCCAGTGGGTGATGCCAGAACTTCACCCACCTTTAAGACAGAGGCCACCACGCGACGGACTCGCTGTCCCAGTCCACTCTGTCTCCAGAGTCCAGTTTCCTCTTCAGGGCTCCACAGGATTTTGTGTTGGGCGAGATTCTGAAGATGCCCTTCACGGGCGGCCCTTTCTGGTTCACAAAGGAAAGCAAGTCCTGCGGGAAGAAATGGAAGGAAAAGTGCTGGGCATTTGACACTCCCGAGCCAGGGCGCGAGGACAGGGCTGCGCCGTGCAAGGCCGAGAGCACAGGGCCCAGGCTGAAGGGACGAAGCACATTTTGGATTTTGTTGTGTGTTTTGGCATCTCTACATTTTCTACCCATCGATCCACTCTGTAGCCAAAAGCACTGAGACATTTCTCATCAGATGTTTCTTTTCAGTGACTCAACGCTGCTTCAAGACCTCTGCTCAATCGCCCTCTCCCTCCACCATCCTTTTCTGGCTGTGTCCTCACAGGGGCAGGCGTTCCTCCCCAAGCAGGGAACCCTTCCTGCCACACTGGGTCCCACCTGCTTATTCCCCGCCAGGTGACTGCATGCCCCGTCCCTCCTTCCTGCACTTCCCAGGCTCTTTGCAAATCAGGCTGAAGACCTGCCGCCCCCACCAGGAAGCTTCTGTGACCACGTTCTCGCCTTGCCTGCTCCCACTCCTCTCTGCTCCGTCTTCACGTCCTTTGCTTGCAGTGTAGACAGAGAACAGGCATCACAGGCAGGGGACTGGAGGGATTTATGACCCATGATGCCACCTATTTGCTGGATGACTTGGACATAGGACACTCTTCTAGGGGCTTTATTTCCTGTGTGAAGTGGCGATGACAGTCACAGCTATTTACTGGCCGTGAAAGGTGCAAGGTCTCGGGTGGTATTGAGCATGGACCCAAAATGATACGATTTTTCACACCTCGCCTAAAATTCCCGACACCCAGTGCAGTGCTTGGACAGGCACTGGACGCTCAGCCAGTGCTACCACTGACAACTGCATACGCTCATTCGAAATAACACAGCCCAACTCTGCGGCTTTGATCTGAAAGGTTCTGTTAGGATTCACAGATTCATACCTGCCCAGGGAGGAAACTTTTTGTTTAAATCCTTGGAACACAAATCAAAACCACAGGAGATATTTTGAGTTGTGAGACTGAGCGGCCTCCGATGAAGATATAATTAAGGGAGACTTGAGCCCAGTGAGGGGTCAAGGCAGAAGCTGGAAGGGGCCCGGGAGGCAGCTGGACTCGGGGACGTCACACACACAGAGCCCCCTGTGACGCGTCTCAGCCAGGACACCTGGTCCTTCTGAAGCCGGTCAAAGACCATCCTTCCTGCTGTGTTCGCCTCGTCCTTCAATGCCTGACTCCGATTCGTACTCCTTGAAGTAACATCGGCCAACCTCCCAGCCAGAGCTAGCGGCTGTCTCGTGATCGCTCCATTCGGAGGCAGATTGGGATGAGGGCACTTGGCCCCCAGAGTTCTCCCCCAAAGGGCTCGCACCACCCAAAGACACCTACCAGCAGAGTGCCGGGCAGGCCGCCGTCCCGACAGAGCTGCGTGAGGGGGACTCCGAAGAGCTGTCCCGGCCTCGGGGCTGGGGCTGGCGGAGCCTCGCACGGCTCGTCCCGGGAGGGGCGGGAGCCCCAGCAAAAGGCCCAGCTCCCCACAGAGCGCCGGCTTGGCCCTGCCTCCTGGTCTGAGTGAGGAAGCAAGAAGTGAGGCGAGCACACGCAGCAGTTCCATTCGCTAACCTCGCCCCACTGTCGCCATCGTGGGGCACGTCTGTTGCCATGGCGAAGACAGCGAAACCGAGTCCTCGCCATGTGGAGTCTCCCACGGCCCAACATGGGCTGACCGCCTCCTCCAGGTGTCAGTGTGTTCCCCTTCCCCACATCCTGCGGCTAAACCTAGAGGCTTCATCAGACGGGGGTTCCTTTCTTCCCGTGGTGACGTTTCCACACGGTGCTGTCTACTGGCCGCTGCATCGTGTCCTGAGGGATTCACGTATGATCAGTGGGTTCAGGTGCCAGATCCCACTTTAAGAGCTAAAAATATTTGATATTCAAATCAAGCAGAGCTTAGTAATCGCCTACTGAGTCCGCTGCCACTCAGATTTCCTGTTTGGCTCTCGGAGTGCCCAACTATGGTCAGCTCTCTCCCGTCAAAGGGATGCATCTGCCCGGCACGGCGTGACCTGCCCGGCCCCTCTTCTCAGCCGGCCTCTCGCCCCTCCAGTGTGGAGGCTGCAGTTCCATGATGACTTGCTTCCTGCTCTCTGCTCTGCCTCGGTTGTACCGAAAGACCCCGGGTGGACTTGTGCCTTGTGACACCTGCCACGTACCCAAAGATGATTTCTATCTACCCAGTATCTCTGCCTAAGGAACGCTGAGAAAGAACTATTGAAAGAGAAGGTTATCAGCAAGAAGAGGCTGAGTTCAAAGTTTCTACTGTTCAGCTAGGAATGCTTTCCTAATCAGGTGCCTTAATATTGTCTTAAATGACCTACTTGTACCAAATACTGAAAAGTCAACAGAGGAGCCAAGTTGCAGAAGGATGAACACAGGGGCAACATTTCGCCAAGGTCCTTAAACTCCTGTCCGCCTGGCTTTTCCGGGACGCTGAGCGCGTCGCCGTGTTCATCTGCCTGGGCGAGGCCCGTGCGCTGGCCGGGGAGGCCGAGTCGGACTCCTGCCGCTGCTACTAGCTGGACACGCCGCTCAAACTGTCTGAGCTTCAGTTTGCTCAACTGTAACACTGATGACGCTCCCTATGCCTCACTGGGCGGAGTCACAGGACATACTACTCAGCACAAAGCGTGGATCCTAGCATTCTTGATAAGAGTAATTTCATTCCTCGCTCAGATGGCCTAAGGCGCCCCAGACACCAGGCTCCTGTCCACAGAGCGGACCTCGCCCCCGTTCCCCTTCGGGTTCTGCAGCCTCCAGGAGGTCTGCAGCCACGCAGGCAGCACCACCCTACCTGACACTCGCACCCCTACCATTTCACAATGACGTAAGATGAAAGCAAACACATTCTTAAATCCACAGGGATATTTCTGTATGTCAACATGTGCCAATGTTTAATATAGTCCCTGTTAATATGTGGCTGAGTTGTCATACGCAACCTGGCTTCCCTCTTCTTAACCTGATTTTATTGCTTCTGAAACTATCCAAATGTGTCTGTCATTTAGCTTGAGTAAAAGGATGCTCTTCAAAAGGGGGCTCTATCCCTTGACACAAAGCTGTGTATCCAGCTACTGTATGAACAAAGCCAGAGAGCAAAGTAGACACTGAGCCCTGTATTTTCTGAAAAAGTATTCTCAGGCTTAGCTGCACCTTTTGTAATATACATTATTTGGTGCGAGAGTTCGCGTTGCCTCTGAAACAAAGAAAACGTGTTATCGCAATGAAAAGTACGGGGGGATGAAATAGAAGCCTAGCCTTTCTTAAACAGCCCTTGTTAAAGGCTTGTGTAAGTGGTTTGCTCATGCTTGAATTAGGGTATGAATATTAAAAACTTAAATTTTAGGCCGGGCGCGGTGGCTCACGCCTGTAATCCTAGCTCTCTGGGAGGCCGAGGCGGGCGGATCGCTCGAGGTCAGGAGTTCGAAACCAGCCTGAGCAAGAGCGAGACCCTGTCTCTACTATAAATAGAAAGAAATTAATTGGCCAACTAATATATATAGAAAAAATTAGCCGGGCATGGTGGCGCATGCCTGTAGTCCCAGCTACTTGGGAGGCTGAGGCAGCAGGATCGCTTGAGCCCAGGAGATTGAGGTTGCTCTGAGCTGGGCAGACGCCACGGCACTCACTCTAGTCTGGGTGACAAAGTGAGACTCTGTCTCAAAAAAAAAAAAAAAAAAAAAAACCTTAAATTTTTGAGACTTTGTGCTTCTGGACTAACAGTCACAAAAATAAAAATACTTCAAGTAGAAATTCTATTCTTGGCAAAATATGTCCAAAATTAATAAGACATTTTCTCCAGAGAAAGCAGTAGCAACGGGAGGTTCCTCTGACGGTAGGGAAAACATGGCAAGAAGGAAGATTAAAGGAAACCCCAGCCGTGGGCATTCACCCAGTTGCAGTCCAGACCGGGGTGGCGCGCACCCGTCGGGCAAGCTGGCTGGGGGCGGGGCGGCGCTGGGAACTCGGTTTAAGCCGGAACCTCAGGGCACTTCAGCGCGGTCCCCAGCACATCCCAGTCCCACTCCATAACTCTGCTCCTCCGGACCCTTCACTCTGGGTGTCTGAGTCCTGGGCCGTTTGATCGCACCTTCTCTGCCCCAGGCACTGCGGAAGCCCTGGGGCGGGAAGACGCGAGTTCCCCGGCGGGACAGAGGGCGCCCCTGCGCTGGCGCGTGCGCAGTGCTGGGGACGCGAGGGCGAGCACCGCCTGCCTACAGGAAAGGAACAGTCCTCCCCGAGTGGGCGAGGTCTTGACTGCAGACCCTGGAGGCTCCTCTAAGCCAGCCTCTGCGCAGGCGTCGGGTGCCTGCCGGCGCCCCCTGCTGCCCCGCGCGGGGAACAGCCGCGTCGGAGCGCCCGCAGTGGAGACGGCCCGCGCGGGGAACAGCCGCGTCGGAGCGCCCGCAGTGGAGACGGCCCGCGCGGCGGGGAGGGGGAGGGGGAGGCTCGCCGCTCCGCGCCTGGCCGGCGTCGGGGACGGAAGGGCGGTTGGCTTCCCGTGTCCCTGCGGCGGGGCACGCTGGCCTAAAGACGGCTCCCGACAATGCCCTGCGGGTGTTCGTGTCCTGTGTGGAGAAAAATCGGAGTGTAGACTCACGCAGGCGGGCGGCGTGAGCAAGCCCCCCGACCGCGAGCGTGGCGCCCGGGGCTGCGGAGACCCTCCGGCAGGCGGGGCGCCAGCAACACACTTCGGAAAACTGAAGAGAAAAAACCGCAAGCGTGTTGCCTCACTGGACAGCCCGCACCCCACAGCGCGACTTCGCCTGCGCTTCCCTCGGAGGACACGTGCGGCCCTCGGAGGACACGTGCGGCCCTCGGAGGACACGTGCGGCCCTCGGAGGACACGCCCGTCCGTCCGAGGACACGCGCGGCCGTCCGAGGACACGCCCGTCCGTCCGAGGACACGCCCGTCCGTCCGAGGACACGCGCGGCCATCTGAGAACTCGCGCGGCCGTCTGGTTTCTGCTCCGACGCTGACTCGACTTCTACATCGTAGGCACATTACTTGGTCCCTCTAGCCTGAAATCCGCCATTTCGAACACCTACTCTCCCGATCACACAGACTTAAACGCATAAAGGAAAACACATTGGTGACCATTGGCGGTTGGTATTCTTACACAATTGGACCGCACATGTCGAGAGCCGCTGCGGCCACTATTGTCTCACTGGAGTCTCACTAGAGCTTGCTCTTCCCGTGGTCGGGTCTCGTCCAGGCCTCCCCGAGAGCAGCGGCCTTCGCCCTGAGCCCCCACGGCTGCCCTCCTGGGGGCCGCAGGGGGACCAGCAGGGGAAGGCTGCGGGACTGGCGACCCGCAAGGCCGTGTGAAGCCGTGTTTGTGAGTGGAGACCACAGCCCCCAGCAGGAGTCGCCTGCCGAGCAAAGGGCTGGCTTTGCTCACTCGTGCTTTCAATTGCTTCCTCTCCGTCGATGACGCGCTGTGACGTGGATTTCAGATTTTAAGAGTAGAGTAAAAGTTCCCTCTCTTTCATTTCTGATTGATCACGGAATGTAACTCAGTAGCTCTAGCTTTTCCTTTGTGTCTGGCATGCTTCCTTCAGGACAAAATTACAACAATTTCCATTCATTAGGGCAACAGAAGCTTCCACGACAGCAATGCAATTAAACCGAAGCATTGGGATAACCAGGAGTTAATTCAGGACAGAGAATTGACAGCATGTTGAAAGATGCATTCAGAACGGTGGCTAAGGGGCCGCCAGCCACGAGTGACGGCTCTTACGGTCCCTTAGATCTGGCCACGACCCGTGGAGGTGTTCCAACCTAAACGTTATCTACCACCTAGACGATGTTTTATCCAAATTAGTGCACTGTATTAAAATAAGTGTATTAGGCCGGGCGCGGTGGCTCATGCCTGTAATCCTAGCTCTCTGGGAGGTCCAGGCGGGCAGATTGCTCCAGGTCAGGAGTTCGAACCCAGCCTGAGCAAGAGCGAGACCCCGTCTCTACTATAAATAGAAAGAAATTAATTGGCCAACTAATATATATAGAAAAAATTAGCCGGGCATGGTGGTGCATGCCTGTAGTCCCAGCTACTTGGGAGGCTGAGGCAGGAGGATCGCTTGAGCCCAGGAGTTTGAGGTTGCTGTGAGCTAGGCTGACGCCACAGCACTCACTCTAGCCTGGGCTACAAAGTGAGACTATCTCTAAATAAATAAATAAAATAAAATAAGTGTATTTCCAAGCATTTGTTTTCTTTTTCCCCACTTTCTTGCTGACACTATTACAAAGATGTCAACATTAATGAAAAACAAAAGGAAAAAATAAACCAACGCATGACACACGTGGGTGGATTTGTCCTCAGCTACATACTTGGTGACGTCCTGCATTCTAGGACTAGGATGTACATTACACAGAAGAAACCTTGGTGTTTTAGATTGTTCAGATGACCTGAAAACATCCTGAATTACATAGGAACAGTGTCACAGGATTGTTGAAAGGATAAAAACAAAAGGTAACTCAGGTAAAGGGACTATGCCGTGATGCCCACAGAAACTGCCCCTTCCCTTATTTTTTTTAATTATTTTTTTTATTTTCGGCATATTATGGGGGTAGAGATTTTAAGCTTTCAATAAATGCCCTTTCCCCCCTCCCCCCACAAGTCTGAGTCTCCAGCATGACCATCCCCCAGATGGTGCACATCTCACTCATTATGTATGTATATACCGCCCCTCCCCTCCACCTGCCCAATACCCTATTACTGTAGTACCTATGTGTCCACTTAGGTGCTACTCAGTTAATACCAGTTTGCTGGTGAGTATACGTGCTGCTTGTTTTTCCATTCTTGGGAAACTTCACTTAATAGTATGGGTTCCAGCTCTAACCAGGCAAATATAAGATGTGCTATATCACCATTGTTTCTTAGAGCTGAATAGTACTCCATGGTATACATATCCACATTTTATTAATCCATTCTTGGATGATGGCACTTGGGCTGTTTCCACAGCCTTGCAATTATGAATTGTGCTGCTATAAACATTCGAGTGCAGGTGTCTTTTTTGTAGAGTGTCATTGGATCATTTGGGTAGATGCTCAGCAACGGGATTGCTAGATGAAATGGTAGATTCACGTATATCGCTTTAAGGTATCTCCATATTGCTTTCCATAGAGGTTGAACTAGTTTGCAGTCCCACCAGCATGGTAGGAGTGTTTCTCTCTCTCCACATCCACGCCAGCATTTATTGTTTGGAGACTTTTGATAAGGCCATTCTCACTGGGGTTAAGTGATATCTCATTGTGGTTTGATTTGCATTTCCCTCATGATTAGAGATGTTGAGCATTTTTTCATATTTTGTTGCTATTCTTCTGTCTTCTTTAGAAAGTTTATGTCAAGTCCTTTGCCCACTTTTTAATAGGGTTATTTGATTTTTTCTTCCTGATTTTCGTGAGTTCTAAGCATATTCTAGTTATCAGCTCCTTATTGGATGTGTAGGAACAAAATTTCTCCCATTCTGTAGGTTGTCTGTTTAACTTTCATGACTATTTCTTTGGCTGTGCAGAAGCTTTGTAGTTTGATCATGTCTCATTTATTTTATTTTTGTTGCTGCTGTGATTGCTTTGGGGACTTCTTCATAAACTCTTTGCCTACGGCCGATGTCTAGGAGAGTGTTTCCAACATTTCCTCTAGAGTTCTAATAGTTTCATATCTTAGGTTTAAGTCTGTTATCCAGCGGTGTTGATTTTTGTGAGAGGTGAAAGGTGTGGGTCTGTTTTAGCTTCTACAGGTGGGCTATCCAGTTTTCCAGCACCATTTATTGAAAAGGATTCTTTCCCAATGTATGTTTTGTATGCTTGTCAAAGATTAGATGGCTATATGAGGATGGTTTTATATCAGGATTCTCAGCTCTGTTCCACTGGTCAATATTCTATTTTGTGCCATACCATATTGATTTAATTACTACAGCTTTGTAATGGTTGATACTGGCATATTAATACTCCATTTGTTTTTGTTCCTAGAATTGCTTTGATATTCGGGTCTTCTTGGTTCCATACAAAGCATAAAATTATTTTCTATATCTGTGAAGAATGCTGTTGGGATTTTAATAGGTATTCAATTGAATCTGTAGACAGTTTGAGTATAATAAGTTTTAATGATTTGAGTCTGCAATCCATGAGCATGGTATGGATTTCCATCTGTTATATCATCCTGCTATTTCCTCTCCAGTGTTTCATGAGTCCTCCCTGTAGAGAGTCTTTACCCTTGGTTAAGTATATTCCAGTGCCTTTAATTCTTGTTGCTATTGTGAAGGAATTGAGTCTTTGATTTGGTTCCTCAATTAGATTGTTTTGGCGTATATGAATGCCTCTAATTTCTGTGTATTGATTTTATATCTAGACTTTACTAAATTCATTGATCAGTTTCAGGAGTTCTTGGTTGAATCTTTGGGTGTTTTCTAAATATAAATACATATCATCAGCAACAGTGAAAGTTGATCTCTCTGCCCCTATTTGGATACCTTTCATTCCATTTTCCTGTCTGATTGCTGTAGCCAGGATCACACTATGTTGGAACAGAAGTGGAGATAGTGGGCCAGCCCTTGTCTGGTTCAGTTCTATGGAATGATTTCAATATTTCCCCATTCAGTATGATGTTGGTCTATGGGCTGTCATATATGGCGTGTATCATTTTTAGGTATGTCCCTTCTATGCCTATTTTATTAAGTTCATATCATGAAAGGGTGTTGAATTTTGTCAAAAGCTTTTTCTGCATCTATGGAAAGAATCATGTGGTCTTTGTTTTGCTTCTGTTTATGTGGTGAATTGCATTTATAGATTTACGTATGTTGAACAATTCCTGCATCCTGGATGAAGCCCACTTGGTCGTGATGGATTATTTTTTTGATAAGCGTCTAGATTCGTTAGCTAAGATTTTGTTGAAATTTTTGCATCTATATCATTAGGATATTGGTCCGTAGTTTTCTTTTTTGTTGCATCCTTTCCTGGTTTTGGTATCAGAGTAATATTCGTTCATAAAGAGTGTTGGGGAGGTTCTGTTCTTCTCAGATGTTGTGGAAACAGTTTCTGCAAAATAGGTATAGTTCTTCTTTGTAAGTGTGGTAAATTCGGTGTGGAAACCATCTGGACGGGACTTTTCTTTTAGGGAGATTTAATTGATGTTTCTATTTACCTGTTGAGATTGGTCTGTTCAGGGAATCATTTCTTCCCTGGTTGAGCCTAGGGAGGCTGTTTGTTTCTAGAATTTGTATTTCCTCACATTTTCCAGTTTGTATGCCATAAAGATTTTGTAGTATCCATAAATATATCTTGTAGCTTTTGGATCAGCTGTGATATCTCCTTTTTGTTCCTGATGGAGCTTATTAGAGATTTCTCTTTTCTGCTTTTCCATTAGCTTAGCCAATGGTGTGTCAATTTTATTTTTCAAAGAAATAACTTTTGTTTATTAACTCCTGAATAGCTTCCTGTTTCAATTTTGTTTAGTTCTGATTTGATCTTGTTTATTTCACTTCTTTGCTGGGTTTTGGCGTGGTCTGTTCTTCTTTTTCCAGCTTCTTTGAGTCATTTCATTAGATTGTGTATTTGTGATCTTTTTTGTTGGTTATA